TTTTTTTTCTTTTTTTTTTTTTTGAAAGTTTAAGATTGTTACATCTATGTTGCCTTCTTCATTTGTTTTTCTTTCTTGACGCTTTGACATGTCATTGTACTTTCAAATGGTGGACCTATCTTTTAATGTGAGCTTTTTATTTTTTATTTTTCAAATAGTGGCCGGATCGTTTTTTCATTGTTTTTTGTCCAACCAAAGCCTGATGACTGTTTTTGATATCATCTTTGCTATGTTCTGTTTTTTAATGATGTTGCTCTATTACTCGATCCTAAATGTTCTCGCCAGTGAGTTGCTGAATCGGTCTCAAATTTGCACCAAGTTCAGCTGGCTATTTCAAGTGCCATTAGGTTATTTCAGTTGTCTAAATTATTTTTTGTCTTTGGCGAAGAACTGAAGGTTTTATCATTGTTGAAGTCTGTTGATCCAACATTGCTTGATACTACTCTATTCTTACCATCTATTTCTGAGGCTTGCTAAACTGTTGTTGTTCGAATCTTCTCTGTTCTAGCCTTCATTTCCTAAGGCCTGTTGATCTATCATTGTTTAAGCCTGCCATATTCTACCTGTTGATCTGTCTTGGTATTACCATTATGACCTACAATTCTAAGATCCAATTGAGCTTGTTGACCATGCAATTTGAAGTTGTGCACTTTTGATTGGATTGATTATAGAAGATGTATATTGTAATGAATATGTTTAGGAAGGCTAGGCACAATATCACAATAAGTCTACCTATAGAATAGGTATTTGTGATTTATTTCTATTCTTGTCATCTGTATTTGTCTATATAAGACAAGCTTGTGTATTTATATTGATGAATAGACATTGAGAGTCTCTTTAGATATCCTTGATACTCTAACAAGAAAGAAAATAAACTAAACAATAAATAATTCTTTTAAGCCAGAAGATTTCAGATTCCCATGGAATCATACATTTTATTTACTCCTTGCTCCAATCTAGGAGAATTTTTAGGATCTCAAATTTGGATGCAACCTCTTCAACCCTTAAAGTAACATCAATTAAAAAAAAAGAAAAAGGAAAAAAAAAAAAAAAAGCGACTCCATATCATACTCTCTATGGGGCTTGAGTAAAATAATATCTCAATAGATACCATCCTATTTCTAGAGTATGAGATCTAAGTTTTAGAGACACTTGAAATTTAATCATCTAGTGATTCTTAGGTGGTACCAAAAGTTTTAAACCCAAAAAAAATCCTCCCAAGTGGGACTTCTGCCCAAGGGGATAAGTGTACACTATGATTCCTTAGGAGCATACTATACATGCTCTTCTTCTAAAACAACATATAATAATATCTATTAAAATTTAAAGAAAGTATATGATGAGACCATGTACCTTTTGAACAAGGTGGTCACAACTAATCTTGACCATTGGATGTGAAATTGGGTGGCTACATTTATTTTATTGACCCAGCTTAAAGTTCAAAAGAAATTTTTTCAAACTTTATGACACACCCAACCTATCAGATTTCACATCGACTGGTTCGAAGCAATTGCGAACTCCTATATTAAAGCTAAATGATCTCATTATATACAATCACTAAAATTTAATGGTAATAATATTATAACGGACATAACCTTGTTCTCTAAATATTTACTAAGTACATGCCAGGATTTCATGGCCAAGCTCTCTAATTTTGGTCTGGCAAAGGTTGGACCAGAGGGAGAAGATACACATGTGACCACACGTGTCATGGGAACACAGGGCTACGCTGCTCCGAAGTACATCATCAACAAAAATTCATTAAAAAATTAATCAATATGTGAAATTGATTTCTTATTAGTGCAGGTTTTGTGAAAACAACATGATTTTTTAAAGATACTAGGTAAGGTCATAAAATTATTGTTCAATGGCTTTAATGTATCTATACAATAACCGCAAATCATAATCCTATGTTATGTTATTTTTACACATCCTATTTTTTCACTTCGTTTTTCAGACAAGTCCAAATTATTCAGTACTTTATAACTTACCTTATTATTTGGCGATCCATATTTTTTACCTGATTTTTTCCACCGACTTTTGAAAAAAAACCGATTTATTACAAATGTTTTCGCTTGACGATATATTATTATTCTCGGACTCAATAACAAAGTCCGTTCAATCCAATGGTTAGAACTGCTGCTTTGATCCTTACCCTGTTCATATTTGATATTCTGTACCCGTGTAAGGAAGTATCACTACACATGTTTGTTTGAATGTATTTGATATAATTGAGAATTCACTGTCTCAATCAAATTAGTTATGATAATGAATTATATGTTCTTTGAGAGCGTTTTTTATAAAAATATCTTCGATAAGTTATAGCCAGTTTTATATCTAAGTTCATTGTTATGAAAGTTATTTTTATTTTAGCTAGAATACATGAAAATAGCAAAAAATACAAAAAAAGTTAAATAACTAAACAATATTATAAATAATACATGTTATGTACTAAACAACAAAAAACATAATATTTTGTGGAGTTCATTTATTTATTTATTTACTTTTGACAAGAGTAACAATATAGTCTGTTTCTGCCAAAATCAACAATCAACCA